AAATCAAATGGACCATATCTGTAGAAAAACACAGTAAAAAAGTTCCATATCACCAGTCAAAACAAGTCCAGGGGCAGACTGTGGAATAGACCATCAATTGTTCATATGCAAGTTCAGGTTGAAGCTGAAGAAAATTAAAACAAGTCTACAAGATCCAAAATGTGTCCTTGAACATATCTCATCTGAATTTAGAGGTCACCTGAAGAACAGATGTGATGCATTAGACACTAAAGATTGAAGATCAGAAGAGTTGTGGGATAACATCAAGAACAATCATAAAGAAGAAAGAAAAAGGTCATTAAGACTAGAAAGAAGGAAAAGACCAAAATGGGTGTCAGAAAAGACTGAAATTTGCGCTCCAGGATAGAGATACTATATCAAATAGAAGAAATGAAGATGTAAAAGAGATTAATAGAAAATTTCAAAAGTTAGCTCTAGAAGACAAACTCAAACATTATAATGAAATATGTAAAAACCTGGAGTTAGAAAACCAAAAGGGAAGAACTTGCTCAATATTCCTCAAGCTGAGAGAACTGAAGAAAAAAATTAAAGTCTTGACTTGCAATATTGAAGGCTTCTGTGGGGAAAATATTGAATGATGCAGAAAACCTAAAAAGAAGATGGATGGAATGCACAGTCACTATACCAGTAAGAGATGTTTGATGATCAACCATTAGAAGAAGTAGCGTATGATCAACAGTGGATATTGAAGGAAGACGTTCAAAGTGAATTGAAAGCATTGGCAAAAACCAAGGCACTGAGAATTGATGGAATACACATTGAAATCTTTCCACAAACTGAGACAGCAATGGAGGCACTCACCCATCTATACCAAGAAATTCATAAGACAACTACCTGGCCAACTGACTGGAAGAGATTCATATTTGTGCCTGTTTCAAAGAGAGGTAACCCAACGGATGTGGGAATCATCAGACAATTTCATTAATATCCCATGTAAGCAACCACACATTGACAGAGAAGTTCCAGAGGTTCAAGCCGGATTCAGAAGAGGACATGGAATGAGGGATATTACTAATGACTCCAGATGGATCTTGGCTGAAAGCAGAGAATACAAGAAAGATGTTTAACTGCACTTTATTAACTGTGCAAAATCTTTTGATTGTGTGGATCATGACACGCTATGGACAGCAGAGAATGAGCATTCTGGAACATTTAATTGTGCTCACGAGGAATAGACCAAGAGGCCCAAGGGAACACTGTGTGATTTAAAATAAGGAAAGATGTGGGCCAGTGTTATATTCTTTAACCATACTTACTCAGTCTGTATGCTGAGCACATAATCTGAGAAGTTGGATTATATGAAGAAAAATGTAGCATCAGGATAGGAGGAAGACTCATTAACAACCTGTGATATGCAGATGATACAACCTTGCTTGCTGAAAGAAAAGATGGCTTAACATACTTACTGATGAAGATCAAAGACCACAGTCTTGGGTATGGCTTGCACCTCAATGTAAAGAAAACAAAAACCTTACCACTGGACCAATCAATAAATAACATCTATGTAAATGGAGAAAAGATTGAAGTTGTTGAAGACTTCATTTTAATCAGATCACTATCAACACTCTTGGAAGCAGCAGTTAAGAAATCAAAGGACATATTGCACTAGGCAAATTTCATTCACATTACCTCTTTAAAGTGTTGAGCAAAGATGTCAGTTTGTGGACTAAGGTGCTCCTGATCCAAGCCATGGTATTTTCAATAACCTCATATGCATGCAAAAGTTGTACAGCAAATAAGGAAAAACATAGAAGAATAGATGCAGTTGAGCTATGGTATGAAAGTACCATGGACTTCCAAAAGACTGAATGAACCAATCTGTTGTAAGAAGTACAGCCAGAATGCTCCCTGGAAACCAGAATGGCCAGACTTCATCTCTTATACTTCAGACACAGTATCAGACACAGTATCTTCTCCAGTCCCTGGAGAAGAATATCATGATTTGTAAAATGGATGTTCAGAGAATAAGACCCCAGCGAGATGGATTGGCACCGTGGCAGCAGTGATGGGCACAAATGTAGCAACGATTGATTTTGCGGTTGGCGCAGGACAGGGTAGTGTTTTGTTCTGTTATGCAGAGTCACTTTAAATCGGTACTGACTCAATGGCACCTAACAACAAATGTTAACTATTTGCACTACTCAGGGACAATGGGAATACAAAGGTACATAAATCTCAGTTTATGCTACCATTCTGAGAAATTAGATAATTTTCTGACTTCACAGTTTACCTAGATGATTAAGACTGCAGTGTAATTACAATTTGGATGGAAATCACATAATTTTAAAACAGTTATCTTGAATATTTTCTGAAAAATCTGGAATGTGTCCAGGCTTGGAAGATGAAAGGTTCCAGATGTGAGAAATGCTGTCGATACCGATAAACACAATCTGTACTCATTTTAGAGGTTTTCTTTATTTGATTTTGCAAACTTGGGCGTCCAACTGAGTTGACACTGGCAGACACCGCCCTGGCTAACCAGCAGTTTTATTCTCTTATCTCAAAAAAACATTTACTGATGAAGATCAAAGAGCACAGCCTTCGATATGGATTACATCTCAGTGTAAAGAAAACAAAAGTCCTCATCACTGGACCAATAAACAACATTCTTATCAATGGAGAAAAGATTGAAGTTGTCAAGGACTTCATTCTTCTTGGATCAACTATCAACACTCATGGAAGCAGCAGTCAACAGATCAAACGACATATTACATTAGGCCAATCTGCTGCACAAGACCTTTTTAAAGTGTTGAAGAGCAAATATGTCAGCTTGAGGACTAAGGTGCGCCTGATCCAAGCCATGGTATTTTCAATAACCTCATATGCATGCGAAAGCTGGACAGTGAATAAGGAAGACCACAGAAGAATTGATGCTTTTGAGTTATGGTGTTGGAGGAGAATATTGAAAGTGCCATGGGCTGCCAAAAGAACCAATAGATCCGTTTTGGAATAAGTGCAGCCAGAGTGCTCCTTAGAGGCCAAGATGGCCAAACTTCGTCTCTCATACTTCGGACATATTGTCAGGAGGGACCAGTCACTGGAGAAGGATATGTTTGGTAAGGTGGAGGGTCAGAGAAAAAGAGGAAGACCCTCATCGAGATCGATTGGCCAGGTGGCGGCATCGATGGACTCAAGCGTGAGGCTGGCCCAGGATCGGGCAGTGTTTCGTTCTGCTGTGCGTAAGGTCGCTATGGGTGGGTACCGACCTGGTGGCACCTAACAACAACAACAACAACAATCTCAAAAAAAGCCCCTCCTTCAGTTCCTCTCCTACTGAGTGTTACAAAGTCACAAGCTCCTCCCAAGGTCACATACTAGTCCTTACTGGGAGCATTCTCCTTTAAAGTGAACTTCCCCTATTTCCTTGATGGTTGTATTCTTATTTTAAAGTTTCTAGCTGGTCAAACCTGATACCCGCAAGACTTCCCCAGTCCTAAAGACGGACCATGCCAACAAGAGTTATAGGTCACACAGATATCAATAAATAATCCTACAGAGCTCTTGTAGTCCTAGTATGCTGCTGTAGGATAAGCATTGGACTGAAGTCGGTTTGAACTGCAAGGTCTAAGGTTCAAGCCCACTCACTGTTTCTTGAAAATCCTATACTGTGTCACTATGAGTCAGAACTGACTCGATGGCATTTAACAACAACATAGAACTCTTGTAAGAAATCTGCATATGTCTTCCATTTCTGTCTTGACCCCAGGGAATAGGTTCCTGACCTTAAAAGCATACCTGCCTGGGAGTTCCCTCAGGTTCTCTATTTGTTTCTGCTGCTCGATTGCTATGTGACCTTGCGCAACACACAGAACGTCCACTTCTTCTGGTGTAGGAGGCAAAATCCCAAAGAGCCTTCTTGGACAGTAATCCCAAACCCTAAATCCTTAGATTCAAGGATTCAGTACCCAAATCCTAGGTATGCCCTTCCAAGCTGCTTTCATTTTAGTGTGAAAAGTCCAAGGGAGTGCAACTTGCTGGCTATATGGTATGAATCCAGAGCCAAACCTTAAAATGGTTGTTGTTAAATGCCATCAAGTCAATTGTGATCCATAGCAACAATGTAAAGGGTTTCCAAGGAGCGACTGGTGAGCTTGAACCGCCGACCTTGAAGTTCAAACAGACTTTGTGGTTTGAACAAAGTCATAGTTACTTAACAATTATAATGAAATATAATATTTGTTATTTCTCCCCTTTGAACATTGTAATCTCCACAAGCACAGGAACACATTAACCCACAGTGCCACACCAGGACTCCTTAAAATGGTTAGAATTTTTAAATCCTTGAAACATTTTTTACTGAGCTGTTTTCTGGAGCACGCTGCATTATAGGGAAACAGGGTGGGCATGCACACTGGAGAGTGAACATTTAGGCACTTTTGGCTTCCTCTGGTCTTGGGAGAGACTGGCTTGTCGTTGGCGCCTTGAAACTCCGAAATGTAGGGGTTCGTCTCCCGGAGAAATACACTTCCCATAGGCGCTTGCGGCCAACTGCGAGACGAGTGACAAGTTCGGAGCCGGCCCACTGACCCCCAACACGCCGAGGGCACGCCTGTTTGGTAGGAGGGCCGCCTCGCAGTGCATGCCGGGGCTTGTAGTACGGCATGCGCATGGGACGAACTCTTCTGTGATTCGCTGCGCCAGCTCAGTGCTCTGGGAGTAGCCTTGGAGAGCTCTGGCGCTAGCCCTGGAGGGTTCCGGCGCTGTCGGGCTGGTGTCCCGCGAGGCCGGTCAAGGTTGAGTGCGCGTATGTCTTCCCTAAAGGGCCGGCGTCGTACATTGTGGGATAGGTGTACGCTTCGACACCGCCTTCCTGCTCCGCCCCTCGCCGGCCGGCCCGCCCCTTCTTCCTGGAACCACAGCTGAGCAGGCGGCGGGCGGCTAGGGCCCCGGCGACTTGCGCCGGCCGGACCCTATGCGGTAACTCGTGCGGTGTAGGTGCTTCCTGCCCCGCCGGCGGGGTCTGTGCTTACCACGGCGAGATGTTCTCCCGAAGGAGCCATGGGGATGTGAAGAAGTCCACCCAGAAGGTGCTGGATCCGAAAAAGGACGTGCTGACCCGCCTAAAGCACCTGCGGGCGCTACTGGGTGAGCGCGCATCGGGCGCCCTGGGTCCGGTGAGGCGCCGACTGAGGCCGGCCGGAGACCTGGCCGCCAGTGAGGGTCGAGGGGCCGGGGATCCTTGAGGGTGTTGGATCTTCCTCTGCAGCCCGGGCAGGGATCCCCGGTGCATTGTTCCTGGGCAAGGGGCTGCCTGTTTCGCGGCACTACCCCTGCCGCTCTAAGTATAAACTTATCACAAATGATCACCGAACCCCCACGTAGTCTTCATGCACAGTCTGAGACCTCAGATGGTCCCAGCACAGATTTAACAGATTTAATTCAACTGTCATCATTCACCCATTTCTTTCTTTCTTTCTTTTTGGTTGAGTCTGCGACCTCAACTAGACTGAGCTACTAAGTGGTCTCAACAAATTTAGCTGTCATCTTCCTTCCCATGCCTCTCTTTTATCTTCATTTTGGATATGTCTTTTTCAGTTTCTTTGTGTCTTTGATATGAAGGAACTTCTCGTTCCTGCTTGGATGGAGCGTTGGCTTGCCAGTGTACCACGGATGGTTGCCTGCCTTCCTGAGTTTTATTGGACTGCTGGGTAGAGGTGTTGGGGAGACCAGGTGGGCCTGTGATGAAAAGGAAGCTTACCTCTGTGGTGTCTTGGTGTCCACAAGGCTTCCTGTCACCTGCTGCATATGACTTGTGTTTTGTTTTCTATTTTCTTACCTCCTTAGTACAGTTGTTTAGGATGAAAACACCTTTGCTGTCTCTAAACAGAGTTGTCTGTATATTTGGAGAACTAGAAAAGGACACCAGGTGTGGCGCTGTGGGATAATGCGCTCAACTGCAAGGTCGATTTGAATCGCGAGGTTGGCGGTTCAAACTCACCAGTTGCTCCTCGGAAACTCAATGTAAGGTCACTATAAGTCGAAACGTGACTTGACGACACTTAACAGCATGTTTCTTCTAGATGTCTTTTTTTTTTTTTTTTTTATTTAAGTGAGCAAACATCACCTGATTTAGTTGGGCATAAACTCTTCACGTGACTATGAAAGAATATGGCATAAAACATTTCATTTTATATGTGAATTTAAAATGAAGATCTTGTTCATGAGCCTGAAAGTTGCTAATTATTTTTATTTCTACTCTGTGAAGTGCTCTAAAGAAAACCAAGCAACAAAGATCTGATTTTACCAAGGGAATTTTATTCACAATTGAGGATTTCTTGAAATCACACTGTCTTGTTCAGTTGCCATGAAATGTAAGTTGGTTACCACAGAGGAATTAGTTTTCAAGACTCTTGAAAGTGAAATGTGGTGTTCTTGGTAAACTGAACTTTCTACTTCCTGTAGTAAAATACCATGCACACAGAAGTTACATTGTGTGGGGTTCTTAGTCTGTAGAGACTGATTAACTGCAGGGACATTTTTGATAAAGGAGAGCTGAGCAGTATTTTAAGCATTTGATACTTTGGGACTCTCTTTGTGGTAAAGCACTTGGACTTTTGTTCTGTCCAAATCTACATGATTAAGTTGGCCACATTTTGTAAAGGCAGAATCAATTGAACCTAGATCAATTTGGTTTCTTAGAGTATATTTTTACCATTTTGAGAAAGTAGGTAGTTTTTCAAGACTATGTAATTGTGATTTCACTTTAAGCTCTTTTTTTTAGGAACTTACTTTTATCATTTCACTGAGCTCATGACCTCAGTTTTTTAACTTGTAGAGAGGGTCTTTGATATTTTCTTAGCTATATGCTGTTTTTGGTTGATGTATATTTATTTGTGTGTGTGTGTAATGAGTCACTTTCTGTTGTTTATTATTGCGATTTTGTGGGAGCTTAGGTTTTTGTAAAATGTGCCTGATGTTTACTGTAAATTTTCACTTGCAACTATACTTTAATGAAAAAGAGTACCTTAAGATACTAGTTCTTATCATATCATACATATATTGGATTGCTATTTTAAAAAAAGGTTATTTACAAAAAGTGTCCTTGAACTAAAAGATTAGAATGAAGCCAAGATCAGGGAAACTATTTGCAGGAAATCAGTCGTAATTGCTGTTAATAGTTTATTTGTGTAGTTATATAACTCTTGCCTTTTACCTCATCTTCAAGTGATAGTGAAAATGTTGTTTTTCTAAATACTGATACCATTGACTGTGGGCTAAAGGAACACAGTTTCTTTACTCTGTAAAATGCATATAGTAATGTGTGCCTCATTAAGGTTATTATGAGTTGTTGTTAAGTGCTGTCTAGTGGGTTTCCAAGTACAAGGTTTCCCAGGAGTGGCTGGTGGGTTTGAACTGCTGACCTTACGGTTCAACCCCCACCTTGCAGTCCAGTGCATTATCCTGCAGCGCTACACCCAGATTCCTGCTAGGACTAGGCATTTAACAGTTTCCTCTCCTCACTATTTATATCTAGCCATTAGTTTTTGTTGTGAAGTGCTGTCAAGTCGATTCTGACCCATAGTGACCCTGTATAGGGTTTCCAAGGAGGAGCTGGTGAGCTTGAACCTCTGACCTTGCAGTTCAAATGGTTTTGCAGTCTGGCGCATTAAGCCTCAGCGCCACACCAGGACTCCATTAGTAGGATGTTGTTAAGTGCTGTTGATTTGGTTCTGATATAGAGTGACCCTGTAAAGGAGTGACTAATGCCTTTGAACTGCTGTCCTTGTAGTTAGCAGTTCATTGCTTATCCTACAGCGCCACACCAGCACCCCACTAATAGGATTATTCTTGTTAAGTGCCGTTGAGTCGGTTCTGACCCATAGTGGCCCTGTATAGGGTTTCCAAAGAGCAGCTGGTGGGCTTGAACCACCCACCTTGTGGTTTAAACCAACTTTACAGTCCAGCACATTAACCCATCATGCCACACCAGGACTTACTGTGGGAGAAGCTTAATATCACCACCCAAAACCAGGCCAAGGGCAGACTGTGGAACAGGCCATCAGTTGTTCACATGCAAATTCAGACTGAAGATGAAGCAAATTAAAACAAGTCCGGGAGAGCCAAAATAGGACCCTGAATATATCCCACCTGAATTTAGAGACCACTTCAGGAACATATTTAATACATTAGACATTGTTGACTGAAGACCAGTGGGATTACATTATGAGCATCATATATAAAGAAAGCAAAAGGTCATTAAAAAGACAGGGAAAAAAAAGACAAAAATGTATTTCAGTAGAGATTGAAACTTGCTCTTAAGCATGTTGTTGTTAAGTGCCGTCGAGTTGATTCCAACCCATAGCGACCCTGTATAGGGTGTTCAAGGGGCAGGCAGCTGGTGAGCTTGAACCACCGACCTTGCAGTTCAAATGACTTTGCAGTCTGATGCGTTAGCCCACAGCGCCACACAGGACTCCTAAAGAAGCTAAAACAATGGGAAGAAATGATGAAGTAAAAGAGCTGAACATAAATTTTCAAAGGACAAAGTAAAATTTTATAATGAAATATATAAAGACATGGAGTTAGAAACCAAAAGGGAAGAACACACTTAGCATTTCTCAAGCTGAAAGAACTGAAGAAAAAAGTCAAACCTTTACTTGCAATTTTGAAGGATCTATGAGCAAAATAATTGAACGGGGCAAAATATTGAATGGTGTAGAGAGGATCAAACGAAGATGGAAGGAATATACAGAGTCACTGTAGCAAAATGAAATAGTTTTATAGGAAACAGTTCAAATTGCCCTGAAGATACTGGCAAAAACCTAGGTTCTAAGAGCTGACAGGGAGTCCTGGTGTTGTGCTGTGGATTAATGCGCTGTACTTCAAAGTTGGTTTGAAACAGATTCGGCAGCTCAAACTCCTCAGCCGTTCCTTGGAAACCCTATACAGAGTTGCTATGGGTCAGAACCAGCTCACTGGCACTTAACAAAACAGGAGTTGACAGAATACAAATGGAAATCTTTGAACAAACTAATGCATCACTTATCTGGCCAACTGATTGGAAGAGATCCAGGTTTTGAGACCATTCCAAAGAGAGTTGGCTCAGTGGAATGTGGAAATCATTGAACAATATAATTAGTATCACGTGCCAGTAAAATTTTGCTAGATAATTAAAAACGGTTATATTAGTGTATCGACAGAGAACTGCCAGAAATTGAAGGACTAGGCAGTGTTCATTCTGTTGTGCATAGGGTCACTATAAGTCGGAACCAACTCGCAGGTACCTAACAACGGTAGCAGCATGACATTAGGTCAGATGCAATCTACAGGCTTAAATTGTATCTTGAGCCAGTCCTTTTTGAGATATAAAAGGAAATAGAAGTGAGCAGAGACAGAGGGACCTACTATCACCAGTAAAGAAGAGCCCAAAGTGGAATTTGTGCTTTGGACCTAGATCCACGTAAAGACTGATGCTAAGGCACACGGAAATCTTCAATGAATGCTGGGCCTACAGATGCTAAAATGAGACTAGGACTCATCTCCAGAGCTGGTACTCTGAATTTGGACTATGAGATTAAAGCACTGGACTGCAAGGTTGGTTTGAACTGCAGGGTCGGTGGTTTAAACTCACCAGCCACTCCTCGGAAACCCTATACAGGGTTTGCTGTGAGTTGGAACCGACTTGACAGCACTTAAAAACAACAACCCACTGTGAAAGTAGGATACGCCCTGGACTGTGAACCACAAGATCATTGGTGTGAGTTCCTCAGCTGCTCTGAGGGAGAAGTAAAGTTTTCTGCTCCCACAGGGATTTATAGCCTCAGAAACAGGGTTTGTAAGAGTTGGAATTGACTCAACAATACTTAACAACAACAAAAATTGAAATGTTTCAGCAAACTAATGCAGTGCTGGAGGTGCTCACTCATCTATGCCAAGGAATTTGCAAGACAACTACCTGGCAGACTGGCTGGAAGAGATCTATATTTGTGCATATTCCAAAGAAAGGTGACCCAATGGAATGTGGACATCATTGAACAATATCTTTAATATTATATGCAAGTAAATTTTTGCCGAAAGTAATTAAAAAATGCTTGCAGCAGTGCATCGACAGAAGCTGTCAGAAATTTAGAAGAGGACTTGGAACA